TTTGCTGCGCTTTTTCGGCAGGAAGCCTCAGTTGTGCCACGGAAGCGCTACGCTTCCCAGATGTGCTGGTGAGATCGCGACCGGAAACTCCGCTTGTCTTCCGTATCTCTTGCGTGGCTAATGTTGCGTGTGACGTCAGCCAAAGAAAGCTATATTTGCAGTGACAGTTACCATTGCTGGACCTTTTCCTTCCAAGACCCTCCACCCACACTGCTATTTGGTTCAAGGAGACTGTACAGGTGCTGCTCCTTGTAAACAAGACCAGGCTGGGGGAGGGGCACGAAATGGGCTTGAGCTGGTTCTGCGTGTGGCCGGGTCTTCAGTGCTTCTCCTGTAAAACTGTATTCCAACTGAAGAGAGGAAGCCCCCGGTGGTGATGCAGAGCAATGCAATGCAAACAAAGCACTTTCAACAGGCTTTCAGATAGATTAGAAAGCCTGCCAGAGTGCTGAAATGGCTTGGTACCCATCATGGACTGCCTGAGAAAAGGGCACCAAATAAACTTGAAGCAACATTGATTTCAGGCTAATTTGCAAAAAAAAAAAAAAAGGCCAATGCTATGCTGGGGATTATTAGGAAGGGAACTGAAAACAAATCAGCCAGTATCATAATGCCCCTGCATAAATCAATGGTATGCCCTCATTTGGAGTACTATGTACAGTTCTGGTCACCACACCTCAAAAAGGATATAGAATTGGAAAAATTGCAGAAAATGGCACCTAGAATGATAAAAGGGTTGAAACACTTTCCCTATGAAGAAAAGTTAAAGCACTTGGGGCTCTTTAACTTGGAGAAACGACGGCTAAGGGGTGACATGATCGAGGTTTATAAGATGATGCATGGGACAGAGCAGGTAGAGAAAGAAGTACTTTTCTCTTTTTCTCACAATACAAGAACTCGTGGGCAGTCAATGAAACTGCTGAGCAGTCGGGTTAGAAAAGGAAGTACTTCTTCACTCAAAGAGTGATTAACACATGGAACTCACTGCCACAGGAGGGGTGGGGGCTACAAGCATGGACAGCTTCAAAAGGGAATTAGATAAGCATATGGAGCAGAGGTCCATCAGTGGCTATTAGCCACAAGGTATAGATAGGGATTCTGGGGCAAGTGATGCTCTGTCTTCTTGATGCTTGGGGGGGCCAACAGTGGGAGGGCTTCTAGTGTCCTGGCCCCACTGCTGGATCTCCTGATGGCACCTGGTATTTTTGGCCACTGTGTGACAGTGTTGGACAGGATGGTCCATTGGCCTGATCCAACATTGGCTTCTCTTATGTTCTTCTTAAACTTGCAAAGGCAAAATGCATTTTAAAAGAGATTAATGGTACTAGTTAATGTATCCAAGAGATACACACTGACTGCCCCACACAGCCACAGTTAGTACTCAGATGGGAGACCACAACAGAGGACTGGGGATACTATGCAGAAAGTGGCAGCGGAAAATCCCCTCTGCTCATCTCTTACCTTGAAAACTCCACGGTGCTGGGGTCACCATGAGCTTGCTGAAACTTGACGGCACACAATATTCATATATATATACATACACACACACGCACACACACAGAGGGGTCATTTCCTGCAGGAGCGCACAGGAGCGGAGCTCCGGCAGTAAAGAGCCCAGGGGGCGGGCACATGCAACAAGCCCCACCCCCTGCTCCCAGCAGCCCTCAGTCAGAGCAAGAAGCAGCCAGGTAAATTGCAGAGCCCCCACGGCCCCCTGGTCCAAAACAGTCCAGTGGCACCTTTAAGACCAAGTTTTATTCAGGTACCAGCTCTTCCTCCTCTGCGAGGACAGAACTGCACGTCTCCCAGGGGTGTGTGGCATATGCAAATAAATTATGCTAATGAGCTCCTGCATCTCTTTTTCTACGAAATGACCTCTGTGTGTGTGTGTGTGTGTGTGTGTATATATATATATATATATATATTACAATGTTGTGTGACTTCTTACACTTACACGTATCCCAGGGAGTGTGAGGGGTACAGAGGTCTTTACCATGCTAACCTCTGTTTGTGGTTAACAGCTCAAATCCAGTAAGAAAGGGCCTATAAGTTATGTACAGGTTGCTGAGCAATTGTTCAACATCTTGTATCTAAAAGAGGGAGCTTGAGCAACAGGTTCCCCCTCCCCCTGAGCATGGGCTCCTCTAGCATTACACTAACTTGACACAAGCAGAATGGCTCTTCCACTTCACATGCAAGCATTAAGCACACAGTATTGTTCTCTTCAGTCTTCGGAACCGGTACATTGCACGGGCTGTACAACTTCCAGTGATGCATCCAGTCCTGCTTTTGAGACAAACTGTTCCAACCCCTGAAGTCAATTCATGGCCAGATGAGGGGGTATGAGGAGGCTATAATGGCATGCAATTTCAGTCAACTATGAAGTGGAATACACCTCCCATGTACAGTATTTCACATGCTCCAAAGAAGGCTATGTTATTTCTGGTATTCTTTATTAAAAATACTGCTGTACACATGAAGAGAATGAAAAAAACCCAGGATTAAAAGGTAACACAGTGGGATCGTGACATCAGAATGTAACATACTGGTGCTTTTTAGGGAAAGCTGTTGACATCTAAAATTTTACCAGAAGAAAGGCCAAAAAAAAAAAAATGTACCCCGAAGTATTTACAGTGTAGCAAACACACAAAATAAAACCCAAACAAGCAATTTTAAAAAAACAGGTAGGAAAACAAATTTCTAGAATCACGTGATTTGGGTAAAAAGGTTGTCCTTTCTGTGCTTTCAACAGTAAAACTAGGAAGGTCAGAATGGTTCCCTTACATGGAAAGTATACGTTCTGGGAGACCTGATTAATTGCTTCTGTGTTTTAGGGATAACATACACAACTCTTCCTATGAATGGAATTTGCTAGTTTATGGACAGCCTTTAAATGGAATTATTCTGGAGTAGAAGGGCTCTCCCCAAAAAACACCAAAGCAAAAAAATTTCCAAAACATAGACCAAATAGAAACAAATAAAATTCCACACTGTTCTATGCATTACCCAACAGCAAATATTTCCTGGATGGCATTTACTCATGGAAACTTATTGGCTCTCTGCTTTTTTCCCCCCCTTCCTCAAACACATTTTAAACCAAGTCCTGAGATTACTGGGGCCAAAGCAATGGACATTTAACATAATGACACAAGTTATCAAAATGCAACTTGCCTTTCAGAAGCAACTTTCAGAAGCAACTTTTGCTGGTCTAGTGAGGATGAGATTGAAGCCCTGCATTACCCTTTTGCTTGTCCCAAAATATTGGTCCACAAAACAATCTGTCAAAAGGTTCCCAATTCCCACAACTGAAGAGATGTTCCCCTTTCATGAAAACAACCCCCCTCAAAAAAGTAGGAAAAAGAAAAAAGCCTCAGCCCGCTTATAAATTAAGCATTCAATATTTCAATACAAGTACTACTTTTTTTGTACAAAAGAATTACAATATGATTTTTTCCAAAAACATATAAAAGACAGCTGCTCTTCCTCAAATACATGAGCTAATGATAAAAGACTGGTTTTGCCATGTTCATATTTCAAAGTCCCTGTTCCTTTTGACATTAAAAAAGAACAATATTATGGCAACTGTTCTCTTCTGAATATTAAACATTATGATCCTTTTAAAAACCTGTTCAGATTAAATGATAATTGATTTCAGTTCAGCTCGTCAACTGATGCTACCGATCATAGGATTTAACACATTTCCTTAGTCTGTTCGAGGGCATCTCTAGCTTTCCAATGCCTTTGCTATGAAGAGTTTCCACAAGGCAAATCTAAAGGAGGACTGTCATCTTTAAAGCTTATAAAACTGGACAGAAATATTAAAAATTTCTCTGAAATTACAAATCTTGAGAATTAATAAAATGAAAACCAGTAACATCAGTTGCAAGTGCTTTTGAAGTCAGTCCTGACCTTTAGTAAAGAATTCCCACATTTTCTTCATGGTGAGCACCCAGTGCTATTAAAACATTCAGTGCTGGGGGGGGTGGGGTGGAAATGGCGGGAGAAAGAGAGAGAGAGAAGAGATACAGTCTTCACTACCGCATTCAGAAAGGGGGGAGGGAATCCTACATATTTGGCAGTCCAGTATCAAAGTGTAGGTATTCTACTACAAATTCCCTTGAATATCCAAGCTTGGAGTCAATGGCAGGTCCAGTATCAGAAAGTTAGGAGGGAGGAAAAAACGTCCAGACTCGAAGACTGAATATTCATGTGTTGAGTTCTTATCAGAAGTAATTTTACTTTGGGCTAAGCAGCAACTGCAAAAGGCACAGCAGACCACCATTCTTCCAGAATCAGGCTATAAAACTTCAAAAGCTCTCGATGCCAGACAACTGCTGTGTGTAGTTAATCTTCTGAACAGTGTCTTTGTATCTGTATCCAGTGTAAAGTACCATAATAAAGCTGTGGTTCAAAGAACAGAACTTTATACAAAAAAAAAATTATACGGTAAGTAACTTAAAGGAATACAGTCCTGAAACTTCAGGTCTGTAGCACAATTTCATAAAAAAAACCCCTCTATTAAAAATTGCATAAATGTAAATGCATCTGACTAGCAGGAAAATATATAAACAGGTATTTTATTTAAAAGGCGCTGGTCGTGTTCAGAGCAATTTGGGTATGCTCCTGGAAGTTACAGATGCTTTTCTGTTTCAAAACGGCGCTATGTTGCTTAGACAAAGCTTCAACCAGATAAAAGGGGGATTTTACATGTGACGATTCTATACTTCACTTGATTTTTTTTTTTAAATATGCATCCTCTGGTTTGATTGGTTAACCAACAGTGGGGTGGCATATGACACAAGTACAGAGGTTACAAGCGACACTGTAATTTACAGAACACAATTTCTATAAAATTATTCACCTGGTCCTTTATAGTATTCTGGGGTGCAAATAATATCAAAATGAATAAATTCTGCAGTATACTCAGTGGCAAAAAAAAAGATTATCCTAGAAATGTTCTTGCAAAGAGATTCCCTTAGTAAATATCCAATGTGGCAAAACATCAGAGTTCAGAAAGTCTTTTAAAAAAATTAAAATTAGTGCATATACGAGTGGAAAAAAAATAAAAGCAGGAACATCATGCCCTGATGTGTTCCTTATTTTAAAATAAATTCTTCACAGATAAAGCCTCCAATGGCAGCCAGAGTCCAAGGGTAAGCAAAAAACATTCTTCCCTTCAAGTAACAGTGTACCTGACTGAAGTGCAACATCTCCTGCTGTTTGTTTCCCGAAATGTGAAATGAGATGACGACGATTCAGCTGTAGTGCAATTTGCTATTGGTTATGTTCCTCAGCAATGTCCGGCATGCTTTCAGCAAATACTACAACTGCCCGTTAGCGGCTGCAACCAGTTCTTGGAAAGTGTTTTCAAAGCAGCGCTTCAGGTCACTATACGTTACCACAAGCACACTCTTCTCATCTCTGGAAATGAGGCTTATTTTTTCTGGCACACCAGCATCCAGCTGAAATCAAAAAGTGCACATAAGCTTTTATGCATAGCCACATTACAGGGCTTAACATAATCAATAGTAATAATAATTATACTACTTTTTTGGCATGCAGAAGGGCTCCTCTTCTACTCATTCACAGTAATTATTATTTTCCAGACAGATGGGAAATCCACAGCCCAGCTCCAACACCTCGTCGTATCAAACAACCAAGTTGTTAAGACAGGCTTACTAATGGCCTTTAAAAAACAACAACTACCAGGTGAACAATGGGAAAGGAAAGGGAAATTTTAATCTACAAAGTCCTGGAATATTTTAATCTACAAAATCCTGAAATATTTGCAGATTAATCTTTTAGTATATGTGCACATGGGGGCCTCTACCATCTTAGAGTGCATTAAAAGGTTGTCTGGCTTGGATGAGGGGAACAAATCAAAATGTCTCAGCATGGAAAAATGTTATTTTGCATTAAACACTTGGTCTAAAACCAAGAAAGGTTCACTATGGTTGTGAGCACTACTATGTAAAAGGCTCCTGGATGTAAAGAGAACCACCATTAATTAGATAGTACTTTTAAACTAGACAAGACTAGCAAAATCTCTTAACACATAGATTTGGGGGGCTGCTGATGTAATCACCAAGGCACCCATTTGCACCATCAGTATGTATGGGATGTAGCTGCACTGCAGCCACTAGACACATTCTAAGGCCTCATAGCTGTCCCCCATCCAAAGCTCAATTTAAGAATCATGTTCATTTGAAGAAAACAAACTTTTTACAAAAAGTATTAAGTGAAGAAGAAAGATGACAAATCACAGAATTAATCTGCAAGTATAGAAGATCTGGGTCTTATTTACCTTGTTAAGACAAGAGATAATGTGACTGAGGTCTATCCAGGGAGTACCCGCTTCTGTCACCTGATGGAAAAGATGATCCCTAAAGAGCTTCAGGAGATATCTGTCTCCAGTTTCTGACCATGCTGGGTCCTTCTGAAATCTGTCATTAAAAAATCTCTCTCATTAAAAACACATCATAACACACTTTAGGCCAGGGTTTACCTTAACATCTGCTTTATAGGAGCTTTTCACACATATTGGCAGAAGGGCCCTTCCACCAGAAGAACGCCAACAGAATTATATGGTAGCCGGGGTCTTTTTGTAGCAGGAACTCCTTTGCATATTAGGCGACATACCCCTAATGTAGCCAATCCTCCAAGAGCTTACAGAGCTCTTCTTACAGGGGCTACTGTAA